GATACAATATATATAAGCAAAAATTAGTATATTTTTAAAATCTATTATAGAAGATTATTTCAATACAACTTATATTTATTATATTAAATCTAAAATGATTTTTAATTAAATCAATTTTTTTATATTAAATTTTACATTTTTATAAAAATCTATATAACTTGAATGTCTAATGTTTTCATACACAAGATAATTTACATTACGTTCTCTTTCTCATTGCTTTTCTGTCTTTATTTTCTTTTCTTTCTCTTTCACTTTTCTTCGACATTAACTTCACAAATGATAAATTATACAATATATATTTTTGATTATAATTTTTTTTATATAATTATTTTTGGCCTTAAAAAACTTTTAGTTTATAAATTTTAAAAATTTTGCAATTTACTATTTAAATACTTTTTATATAAAATACTTTGTATCGTATCATATAAAATAAAGCATACTACTGCATTCAATAATGGCCATATTACTTGTTAAAACAAAAAATGCAACGATTTTCCAAGAACCTTTTTCTATTCCACCAAGATTACGATTCACATATTTCTTAACATAAATAACAGATAAATATCCTATTTCTTACCAAAGAATAAATTTTTTTTATCTACGACGACACACCTGATAAAACATTACACAGCAGAATATCGCCGTATGCATTGATCTTCTCTCGCCGTTTGCCCGATCCTGCGTCCTGAAATCTCGACACAGCAACTCGACCGAAGAAAGGTGTGAAATACTGTGATCCCGCCGTTAATGCACGTATACGTGCACGCACTGCATGGAATTGCTTAACTCTTTCACAATGTCGTAGTTACGTTGGAACTGACACTTTTTTTCAAGTTCTGCAGCGCGCTCTATAATTCTGCATCACAAGCTAGAGAACTATACTATTACGATGAATATTTAAGCATCAAAAGTACTGATTTGACATACCAAAAGTTTAATTATTCAATAAAACGTCACTTCCTACAATACACGCACAAGACACATTTATCTATGTCCACCTTTCGATATTCCTGAAAAAGTATACCCATGTCAATTTTCAGAATCGCATATATAGGTTCCTCTAAACCGTCACTCTCGATATAGATCTACTATTTAAATTATAATCACATTCCTGCTTCCAATAATTCTATATTAAATTATGTTACAATTCTCTGAATGCGAAATTCATTTTAATTTATTTAAGTTTTCCTACACCGGTACGAAGGTTTTGTTACACTTTGAAATCCTACTACGAGACTTCGGATGAGCGCTGTTTTTCGGTCTTCAATAATGCGTGGTAGTTCATCATTCATTTCTGAATATACATACACATCGTAAAGATGACAGCAGATATATGAACACGCAATTATTTTTCTATATATCATAGATTAATGGCATCATTACAAGAGAATTTTTTTCAAAATATAAAGAAAATTTCCTTAAAATATTAGAAAATATTCTTCTCCGGAAGATATTTCTTTACAATTTCAATCACTATCTACAAAGAAACAAACGAAATGACAACCCTGAAGGGCGCACGATATACGTACAATGGCTGCCATTAATGGCTGCGCTAAATGATTTCACGTGGTTTTGTCAATACATATTCCGCCATATGTTACTTACCTTTTATCACGTCCACATATTTATGATAGAAATTTAATATCTGTTTTTTTTTTTTTTTTTTAAGGAAATTATTGAATTAATGAAATAATACATTTAATAATTTTAATAAGACAATAAAATTATTTTTATTGTTTTATCGAATTTTATATCGAACACAATACTATCAATTACATATCTCACAAGGAATAAATAATTTCTAGTAATAATTAATAATAATATTATATTTTGAAATTTTAAAGATATAAATAAGAATTTTAAATAAATATATAAATGTAATTCTTTTAACAATGCATCTATTCATATCTACGATCTAAAATGATAAAATAGAAAGCAAAAATCAAACATGCATTTCCGTGTATGCATTTATTGTGTAATGATTATTCTTAAAACAGGATTTGTGGAGTAAAAAACTTTTTCTAAATAAAAAATTTGATACAAATATTTTAATTATTTCTCTAGTAATTTAAGATTTCACCAAAAATCGATGTTCCAGAATTAATTGAAGATTTAATTATGCCACCTTTTGTATGTTTTGATGATTTATATATCCAATTATCTTATATTTCAGAGGACAAGAAAGTACCTCCAACTATGAAGATCCGCCATTTATAACTCATAAGTATTCATTTCTTCTAATATCCACTTGGTTCGAGAATTCTCGATTGAGAAACGAGTTTAGACGGAAACACCCGAAGTTTATATATCAAATTCGATTATTCCCTTGTAGTTCATATAGATACAATTATATACTATACAATTATTAATATAAATATAAAAACACATCTTATTAAATAAAATATTTTCATTAAAAAGAATATATTATTAAAAAAATATTCTATAAAAAATATTTATATTTATATAAAATCATAAGTTTGTATTGTTTGTGACAAAGATGATATGAAAAGAAAAATACATAGCAACAAAAAAATAATAAAAAATTAATTTACTCTAATGTATAAATTTAAATTAAATTATATAAAAACAATATTGCATATGTAAAATATTAAGGTTTCAATTAATATCTTACAATAAAATACACCACGAAAATGTTAGATTTTAGTTACTATTATATTGATTTTAATTCATTTCAGTAAATAAATGAAATGACTAAATTACAATTATAGTTCTTTGTATTTATTTGTGACGTTTTTCTCGATTTCATATAATGTAATATTTAATAACTTTATTTACAAATTATCAGCTCAATTAATGAACTAATAAACTTTAGTTTGCATAGGATTTGAATTATTTACAAAAATTTTTGAATTATGGAACAATCTTCCAATTCATAAATTTATGGGACAAAATTCTTTTTCACAATATTATAATCAATAAAGCGCCAAACACTATTACCTTTCCTTTTATTTTTAAAAAAGTGAATTAAAAGTTCTTTACAATTTTGTAAGAAACATTTTCCATCATGGTGGTCAAGCATTACTATTTTTATAAATGAATCTAATGTAAATGCAATTTCCTTCATGAAGAACATTTCATTTAAATTGTTCTTGTTATATTTATATGTTTTTTATATAGATCTCAATTATAATAGCCTCTCTTAAGGCAACAATGTTGTCTGCAAGTGATATTTGAGAACAAATATCACTGTCTAATTCTTTTGGTACTTAATAACACTAATATGTTGTTGGCAGTACATGTAATTACATTCCCGGTAAATAATTTCCAATAGTTTTAGTTTTATAGCACAGTTTTGCATAATTATGGACATATTATGTAAGTCTAAACATGAACTGACATTGATTGAATAATTAAAAATTAAATCTGAACATTACGCACTTTTCGTATCGAAAAACATTCGAACAATAGAAATATTAAAAATTAGATTTTTAATCATACTGAATAATACAATATATTACATATTTCGCTAAATTTTTTTTGTTTTAATTAAATGAAAATTATATGCTTAGAAAGCCTCGAAAAGTTTTATCGCATTTCCCACGAGTTATATAATTGTCTGCAGCACAGCTACAATATAGTTTGTGAAATTCTTATATTACTCTTCAAAATTTGTTTTCTAATATTATTGTTTTATAATAAACTCAGTAGTTTTTGTCAATTATTTTTGTAATCAACATTTAGTGTACAATTACATGATTGCACGATAAATTTTCATAAATACATTCATGATTATTCTTAATTAGAAGACATTCTTAATTATGAAGCACTCATTTCAATAAAAAATCATATAAATATTTTTATGAAATTCCGAAAAAACTTTAAATTAAGTAAAAAGACGGAATAAGTATATTCAAATATGAAAATTAATTTTATTAAATAGTGTATTGTAAAACAAGATATAGATTTAACAGAAGTTCAGAAATACTATAATTCAATGAAATTATGTAAATGTTACTTTATATATTCGAACACAAAATTAAATTTAAAAAAATATTTCTTGATCATTAACACCATGTCAGATTTTTTTTAATGTCCTTATTGAGTTCAAGAATATTAAAAAGTATATAAATAGAATTCATTCTTAAATTATAGGAAAATGCAATTTCGTACAACTGACGAGACCTCGACTGATTAATTATTATTAACCAAATAACAAATTAGATCAAAAGAAATAAAAAAAAAAAAGAAAAACAAATTTCTGTATTATTATTATTGCTATATGTCAAATATAAATATGATTGTACGAAAAATGTAATCACAAAAATAACGAGTTAATTACGAAGCAAACACACAATTGGCAGCAATATCGATATTGAATCTTTTCAATTTGTAAATATGTTTCGTTTATTTTGTCTCATTATAAACCGGTGGAATGTTCTCTCTCTTTTCTGTTTCTTTCTTCCTTTCTCCTTTCTTTCTATAAATTTTGCAAATGCTTTTTTTATATATCTGCCAAGGCTGCTTTTATTTTAGCTTTCGCTTTCAAACATGATAATAACACAGTACCCTCACGCGTGCTTCTACAAAGTAATATATATTATATATTTATTTTCTTAATATATGCAAGATTTGATGAATACTTGCTCTCGTTTTGTTATCGCATGTTCATTCCATTCATACGACCACATTGTCCGTAATAGTATAAGTAGAATATAATATGACACTTTTTTCTGTATATGTAACTGTATTCACATATGTTGCAATTTGCAACTTTCTTGAGGTTTAATCATAATTATTTACCTAAAGGACTCTGCAAACTTTATGCTGAGAAAATAAATGGTCAAAAATGTTATTAAATTAATAACATTGCAATTCAATAATAAGTAAAGACACGATAATAATAAATAAGTTTCTAAATTGAACCATAATTACAATAATTTATAAATAAAGTCTTGCTGTCCATAGGCAAATAATTTTCACTTTTACTGCCATTTAGAAACTATATGCATAGTGAAATAGTATTTTCGTGTTTTTTCATATTCAATACTAAGAATTTTTATATTTTTTTCAGTCTTATAAGCAATAAATCTCTTTTTCATAGAAAGATGTTCAATTAGATTTGTTTTTAAATGGCTTATTTTTTTTTAATTATTTTCGATTTTATATCATTATTTCATATTCCTCTGTACATTTGTAGTTTTTTAACTAATACCTTTTGTAAAATTTATTATAAATAAGCCATAAGTTACTTGAAAGAAAAAAATATTTCCTATCTTTAGAAAGGAAATACTGTTCAATTAATCTATCGTGTCCAAAATGTCTCTTATCAAAGTAGGTCTTATATTGCTAAACCTTACTTCCATTAAGGTTTATTATCTAAATGACTTTTTATATGCAAGCAGGATTTTTTATTCTTTACTGAAATGGATTTCTTCTTAATTAAAGTGAATCTTCATACTGACTGATTAATATGAAAAGCCATCTAATTTAAAATATATAAGTTATTAGAGCAATAAACTGCGCCGATGGGATCCTGTGCTTGCATTTAAACAGATGAAAAGTTATAATATAAATCTAATTATGCACTGTAGTTGATGCATGTTGAAGTCTTTCTAATTCTTCCAATGATAAAACATTTGTCTGGACAAGCTCTGGTAGCTTACCAGCTCGAGCTTGTGCGAGAAGTTCTGGACTAAACCATCGTGCCAACTGATTTGAAGTTGGTGAAAGATCTCCACCATTGCTACCCACGTATCCCAAACCTGGTGATGCTTGTCGACCTACGGGCATATTCAATTGCTGCGACCGCATTACTCGCCCATCTGTGAAAAATATTTGTCAGTGTTCATTTTGATAAAAGTGATATCAATGTATCGAAAAATATAATGCCGTAATGTTTTGAATCGTATTAGCAAGAAAAAGAATAATTTATATAATTTAAAGAAAAGACAGCCTAAATTAGCAGCATTAGATGATTACTTTAATTTCGATCCAAAGATAAATGCTGTCTAGACGATTTAAATAAGAGGAACGGCTAAAATGTGATATCTAATTATTCCAATTTCTGAACACCATTGCATGCAATTTGATTAGACAAGAGGTAGACACCTGAAAATATTTTAGAATTACAAAATTAATGTAACAGCTTCAAAACAGGAAGCATTCTGTTCTTAGTAAACAAAATTATATTAGTAAATATTAATATATAATTATAAAATATTAATTGTTAAATTTCCATCTCCATTTATGTGATGTGATTAATCTATAGAATATGAATTATAATTACCTGCACGACTGGAGTTATAGTTTTGATTTAAGACCATTTGCATTTGTGAATTAAGAATCCGTTGTTGTTGTTGCGGTGGTTGATGTTGCATATTAGCTAGATGTGATGGAGCTTGTTGCATCTTCATTTGATTATTCATACTATTCGACCTCTGATTTATCATTGAATTTTGAGCAACATTGTATTGTGGAACATTATGATGTGCTATGGAACTAGTCATGGTATGTTTGGAGCGTGCAGGATTACCATATACGCTTGAAACCGTTCTATGTTGTTGTTGTTGTTGTTGCTGTTGTTGGAAATCTGAGTTTCCACCATATTGAAATTGATTACCACCATTACCACCACTACCACCACCACCTTTTACTATGGGTCGACCTATGATAATTAATATAAATATTTAATATTAATATAATATTTTTTATTAATTAATAAATTAATTAATAATAATATTAATATAAATATTTTAATATTTGTTGTATTAAATATTTGTTTTAATAAAAATATTTAAATATGATAGAAAAAATTTAAACATTCATAATGTTTAATATACCTGGATGTTGTTTTATAGTTGGATTTGACCAAGTAGATTGAACAGACTGTGGTCGTAAAGTATTATGTCGAGAAAGAACTCCTTGTGTCAACAATTGAACTGCAGATTGCATTTGTTGCATTTGAGATGTTTGTGATTGGGTTCCCAATTTCGATGGATCATTACTATTACCTATATAAAAATAGAAAATAAATTAGATAACATGAATTTAATAACTTATGTCTTCACTATATTATGAATATATACAAACTAATAAAAAAAATATAGCCTATCAATATGTACAATATAGTTCTATATACAATGAAATATGATAAAAAACGTTCAATTTTATCAAGATAAAATTGTAACAATTTTTATTTTATGCAGATCTATTAACAAATAAAATTAAACAAATAAGGATTTTTAAAAAATACGAACCATTATCTTTCATTTCATTCGAATTGTGTGAAAAGAAAAAAAAAATATTGTTCTTATTACATACATTTCTTTTCCTTGCAATACATCATAAAAGCTTTAAAAATTTAAGCGCATGCATCGAAGTACAAAATTATCTCGTAACATTCCATTAAAGGAAAAAAGAAAATGTGTAAAGGAAAACTTAAAGCATGAAATATACTTATAAAGCGTTTTATTATAAAACTATTCCAACATACTTTCTCTCGTTATATGTTTATATATCAATCTATGTAGAAAAATATAATTTATAGTATTAATTGTATTTCTTCTTTTCTGTTTTTTCAGTAATATTAATATTTATATTTGATATTAAAAAACTTATTTTGTATATAAGACTTTGTAAAGACTCATATTTTTATATATAATTTGCAAACAAATATAGACAAATTAAATTTCAAACATATTAAAGGTGTCAAGCAAAAAGAAAGGAAAGAAAACAAAATTATCATTCCTCATTTTAATACAAAAATAAAAAAATAATATTACAATAGATAATAGTCACAAACTTATGAATTCTTTTTTCTATATGAAATTTTCGAAATATTAGTAGTTTAAATCACAATTTCATCATTCTGTAAAATTGATATCTTATTTTCCTCTATTTTTTCTAATATATTATTATTATCGACTATTATCGTTTCGATTTCAAATTGCTCTGTTAATAGTTTGTCAAGAATAAGAGGACTATTATTATTATTAGTAGTAATAGTAGAATCACTTATGTTCGATTCTTTATTAATATTTTCATTCAATAATTTTTTAGCTTCATAAACAAAATTCTCCTCTATCATATTTATGTCCGAATTATTATTACTATCTTTTTGTTGTTGAAAAGAAGAAGAATATTTATCTTTTAATGCGGATTCTTCTATTTCTTTGTTATTGTTGCTGTTATTATTTAACTCATGTAAATTTTTCGAAGTGCCAATTTCAGATATACTACCATGCTTTATATGATTAGTAAGCTCAATTGCATTATCGTAAAAAGCAGATTTTTGCGTATAAATATTCTTTTTAAATTAAATGCATTATGATAAGTGTTATTACGATTTTCATTAATTGTGGATGAATATAAATAATTCGATTCTAGTTGATGATTAGACTGATTCGCACCCTCAGGTTCCTTATCGGCAGTCATTTTACGTAACACTGATGTCGGAGTAAAAGCAAGTGGTGTTGGACTCATAGTTTGTTTTGCTGGTGAGTTAACGGGACTTGATGCTCTTTGTTGAGCTTGTTGTTGCTGCTGCTGCTGTTGATCTTGTCGCTTTCGGAAGTTTTCACGTTGTTCCTCCAACTTTTTCTTAATTAAAGCACTTTGCATTATAGATTGAGCATGCATAACAATTTCCCGTGGTGAAGGAACTCTATGCTGCATCACTGTTAAAATAATAAAAATTCAACCATTTTAAACGAAAAAAATATTATCCTACTAATTATATTAAATTTTTGTACAAAGCAAAATTTATAATTATAATTGCTTTATATCTATTTTTTATAATCTATATTTTGTTGATTTATTTAATTCCTTTTCATTCATTTTTCTATATTTAGAATATTGCTTAATTATTATTAAATTACAGTTAAATTTTATTTATAAAATAATAAAATAAAATTACAACATAAAAAAGACTTTTATTATTTTATATTCTACCTGGATGCTGTACTGTTAATGTACTGGGACTAGCAGTCAAATTTGGAGATATTATTGAAGGTGGACAATAAGCTGCATTCCAAACAATATCATATTATGTTTATACTGTGATTACATTATTTTTAACAAATATATATATATATTTAGCAATTTTTAATAATATAAATAATATAAATAATAAAATAATTCATAATTGATCACATAATTTTATATTAATTACTATAAAAAAATCAAAAATTTAAGATAATTAACGAAAAAATTTTGAAATAAAAAAAAAGTTTAATAATTTTATCAATAATAAAATTATATAAATATAATGAAAACAATTTTTTTTTATATAAATTATATTTAAATAAAAAAAATAGATTTAACTCACCATTATTCATAGGAGATGGAATTCTTTGTTGTTGCTGCTGATATAACATTTGTTGTAAAATATGATCTTGAGGTGTAGGTGCACTAGGATGCGGACTTATAGTACGCGGCGTAGTGCCACCATACATTTTCAAAATATTTACTAAGACTTCCCTGTGACGATGTTGCATGGCTGGATTCTATTATATCATTATTATAATTTAATGTATTAAAAATTCGAATATAAATTTTCTAATTAATAAAGCAAACCTGTAATTGCTGTATGAGATGTTGTCTAGTTATTTCTCCTTGTTGTAGACCTTGAATAATTGCTTGAGCTTCCGGTCTTTGGAGAAGTTCCTGACTTGTTGGAGCATTACTCAACATTATTTGCATTTCCGGAGGAACGGGACTCATACCTAACATTCGTTGACCACCCATCATCATAGATAACATATCTGAATGCTGTTGTTGTTGATGATGTTGTTTCTGTTGTTGCTATAAAAACAATTAATATTTAGAAATATAATTATTTTTCTTCTTTTATTATATTAAAATAACTTTCATTACTAACTTGAATCTGTAATACTTTCATTAAATTTTCATGTTGCATTTGTGCATTGTGTTGATGTGGATGTTGAGTTGGCCCAAGAGAACCAACATGATTAAATGTTGTAGTATGCATTGGTTCTGGAACCGATTGTTGGGGAGCAATTGGTTGTGTTTTCAGTTGTGAGTTAAGTAACTACAAAGAAAATATATATTATTTTAAATGAAATAAATTTTTTTTTGATACCAAATAAAAAAATTATAAAAGTCATAAAGATCTCACTTGTATGAGTGTTACAGGTTGTTTTTGTGAAATAGGACCGTTTGCCGCTGGTATAGCCTGTCCTCCAGTTACTTGAGCAAGCTAAATATAACATTATATATATATGCACACACATATTCACATTTATGTTAATATTCATGGAACATCTTTGATCCTTTGGAAGATTAATTTTAAAAATCAAAGTAAACACAAAAATTGATACATAAAAATCGGTTAAGATTATTTATTAAATTATAAACAATTGAAATTTACATTAAATGATATGAGACGAAAATAGAATAATATTGCTCTATTATTACATGCTCAATATTACATTTCCGACTTGCATTATTTAAAATGTTTATAAATAATATTTATTTGTATATTAATATATAATTATAGATATTAAATAAGTGATATTTTTTTTTATTAATATACCAATTTTTGTTTTAATCTTTAGAATCGATTCTTTAAAGGTATTCCATTTCTAAATATATTAACATTCTGTATATATAATTATAATATTTTATTTATTATATAAAATATATATTACCAATTTTTTAAACGCAGAGAGATCTTCTTCAGTCTTATTTACATGAGGTTGATCAGTTGAAGAAGTAGGTGGGGGAACGCCACCTCGCATACGTGCTTCTAATTCTTCAAGACTATGCACAACTTTTCCACCAACTTCTGTAAAAAATTTTCAGTATTACATACATATATGCTAAAAGAATACATATAATGTTTTATTGTAATTAATAATAATAATAATATTTCGAAATAATGATAATAATAATAAAAATTAAATAAATTCACATTCAAATTCTCACCCATATCTTTAATGGATGAACTTTTCATCATTGGTATGACAGTATTAGCTGCATCTCCTTGTCCATTCTGACTTGATTTGTTTCCACGCTGCAGCATTTCTAGCAGCTTTACGCTAGTAGTGTTAGATGTAGTATTATTTGTTGTTGTCGTATTAGCAGGAGAAATGGGAGCAAAATATGTATTAGATTCTGTCACTGACGGAATTTGAATATTTGGCTCAGTAATATCATTAAGAAGATTGTTCAATATATCATCCTGTATAGAAGTTCTACGACTATCTACTTGTTGAACTGGACTCTCTCTTTTAAACCATTGACTAAATCGGGAACAAGAACCTCCATTTGAACCAACTCCATTCTATATAATTAAATATAGTTGAATACTTTATTATTTTTATAATTACATAAATTTTCTTATAAATCCAAAAATAAAACTTACAGTTAAAAGCCCAGGTACGCCAGGGAATGTATCAGATTTTAAAAATTCATCAAGATTGAAATCAGGATGACTGTCCTCTTGGTTTTGATTAATGGTGCTAGAATTATCTGTTGTCTCACAACTTTGTTCAGTCATGGTACTCACATTAGAATCGTGATTAGTTTTTTGTACGAGAGATGATGATTCATTTTGTTCAGAAATCGGCGAATGAGGCGCGGCTACAACGTTTAAAGATTGATCCATCGTAGTTGGTGTACTTCGTCCTTTCGGACCTGTTGAATTTTCGTTTTGCTTTTCATCTTTTTCCAATGAGTTTTTCTTTCCGCGTTTTTTCTGGACTGGAGTTTGTTTTTTGTTTTTAGTATTGCTGTTATTATTGTTCACCGCTTTTTCTTCTGGGATATCTTCAAAACCTCTTAATTCAATAGTATCATGTTGAGATGTTGGTCCAGAACTAAACCATTCTGGTTCATCCGCATCACTACGATTTTCGCTATAAGTTCGTCTACGATCATTACTAAATCTTCGTTCGCGACCACGATCCTTATCACGTTCCGATTGATGATTACGATCATTCCGTTCAGTTGCTCTATCTCGATCTCGTTCCCTTTCTCTATCACTATAATCACGACCAAAAGATCTTCTTTCGAACCGTTCATTTCTCTCATCTCGTTCACGCAAATTGTCGCGATCACGATCTCTTTCTCTCGCATTCTCCCGATCTTTTCCATCGCGAATATCTCTGTTATCACGATCACGCATAGAAGTACCACCACCTGCTCCAGATCGAAAAGCAGGTTCTAATTTCTCATTCTCTGGTCTAAAGTCCCATATATCGCGAGTTAAAATTCTACCGCTTCCAATTCGTCGAACAGGTTCTCTATGGCTAACCTATAAATCATTTTTTGTTATATTATTACTTTATTATAATTCTAACATTTAATTTTAATATTATTATAGTTTTTAATATTTTAATTTTAATATAATTTTTAAATATAATTTTATATATGTATATAATATTATTTATATGATTTTAATAAATTTAATATTTTATTTTAAAATTTATGTGACCTCTGTTTTTCCTATTGGACTTTCAGGACGTCGATTCGAAGGTTGATTCACGTTGACAAAACAACCTGAATTAAAACTTCTACGTTGAGGACTCAATACTATTCCATCTTGTTCCTTACGAATTCGTTCACGTGGATCTCCATTGCGACGTTTGTTATGATTTTCAGTAACTTGATCACCGCGTCCAGTTCTTTCATCTTTTGGTGGTGTATCACTTCGCTTCCTACCCGAATGCCAACGTTCAGGATCCCATACACCACGCGAACTAAATAAAAAAAAAAAATATTATAAATATAATTCATAAAAGACGATAAAATTCAAAAATCATCAAAACAATAAAAAAAAATAATATGCAATTTATATAATGTAACATAAACATAAAACATACTTGTTATATGAGGTATCTAAGAAATCAGGCCTCCTCTTAGATAATGGCAAACTCTTTATCAGCATTAATTCCTCCTACAAATAAATTCATGAACTATTTCATCAATTTTACGATATATAATAAGCAACCTTTTATACAGGAAAAGAAATTTTGCATATTTTTTTTTTAAATAAGAAATAATATTTTATAATTTAAAATTCAATCATAAAATAAAAATTGATAAATTAATAAATTTAAAAATATATATATATATGTGCGTATAAAATAATTTTCTTTTATATTAAAACAGATGTTTTATCATTCATATAAATAATGTAACATGATAATAATCAATGTAAAAACATAAAATGTAAATACAAAAACTTGAAACATAAGTTCATAAATTTAATTTAAACATAGATGGTAACATTTGTTCAAGTTAGCACATAATCATCTTTTTATATAATATGCTTGGGTCATAATATAAATAATTTGTCATAGCAGATATATTTGCTCTCTCTGTTTAAAAGGTTAATTGTAAATAATGTGTTAGGTAGAGAAAATATTTTGTATAAACGAATAGTAAAAGTACATCATACCCGGGAATATTGGAATTGAGGTCTTGAACGGCCTACTTCCATAATTGAAGTGTCGGTTACTTCCCCGGCTACCGACATAGATATAATTGCTTCATCTCCTAAAAAAACAATTAAAATAACGAATATAAATTCGTATAATATATTTCTATATATTTCTCAAAAAAATATTAAAAATAAAACATGAATAATATCTTATTAATAAAATTATATTATTTGTTGAATTTATTGTAAATTTTTTAATTTTTTTGTATTTAAAATATCATAAAATATAATATATATAATAATTAATTTTATTAATTAACCGATTGTCATTATTGAGCATGTTTTAGAATATTATTTTATTAGATTGAATAAATTATTTTAAAATGTATATAAATTATAGGATAACGAACTTTTAACTTCCATTGTTGATGTAGATTTTAACGATTTTAACGCATGATCGGATAGATTTCTTTTAACTTTTAGTTTCAAAAGTTATATATTACGGAAATACTTACGAAATGTGACTCGCTTTGTAATGTTGACAGATTTATTTTTGCGAAACCATCGAAAAGCTCTAGTTTGCACAGCTAAAGTCGCGTCTAGGAGAGGAGACCCTGTAGGTCCTACCAGCGGACGTTTTCGTGGTCGACGATACCAATTCGAACTAACACCGCGTGTGTCTAGCTTCATTTTAATCAAATTTCTTCAAATTTACTCCTTACTTTTATCGACACTTTTGGTTTACTGGTTTTAACCGTATCAAATAGTCGAAAGATATTATCAAATAAATATTTATCAATGAAGGACAAAACGGACAAAGAATTACCGTTTCAAACCGAATTAGTAAAAGTATAGTGAAAAATGAAATAAGGTAAAATTAAACGAAATGTATAATTATAAACAGAAGATACATTAATTTATCGAGGATATTCACTTCATAAAAACATTGACGTTCCAATTAATGTATTTATAAAAATGTCGAAATCCGACACTCGTGTAAAATTATTTTATAAATATCAATTAAATGATTCATAAATTTTCGCACAATTAAACGAAATATAAATCTGTTAATTTTTATTATTATATTATATCTGTGTAACACTTCTAAGAAATTAAATTTTTAATTTTCATAGATACTACACGTCGTATAGCAAGATACAAACTAACTAAAAGGCAGCCGGTTTTTAGGCGGGCAAAGTTTACAATCCAATCAAGTACGTCCCTAAGAACGTTATTGTCAACTTTATGTCTTATTGGTTTTGTTTGTAGATATGTTTAAACTGATATTTGTAACTGATATTCTTTGAATAAATATTCAAATATTTTGACATACCGATAAATAGATTTTTTGATTTGAAATAATTATTAAAGTTTTATATTTATTAGTATTATAAAAGCATTAGATATAATAACTAACATACATTGAATGAATCGCAAAAAAAATTTCATTATTATAAAATAATCCATTTACTTTTAATTGAATTATGTTATAAATTTTTCATATTATTGTTTACAATTATTATGAGATATATAATTTATATATAAAATATAAATATATAATATTTCTCAATTTATGTATTTTGATTTTCAAATCAATATTTTAGAACAAATATCATTATCGTTATAAGATATTTTCTCTTTAATTTATTTTCTCTTTTCTAATAATGTTATATTATTATATAATAATTTTATAGATATTTATATTTGTCTATACACTTAATAGATTAGAAAAAATATACAATAAGAATCTTCATATAAACTTCTTATTTTAATATCAATATGAGAATTTTTACTTCATTAAATTTTATATTTATAATTTATTACTTTTAAATATATAAACAGGTAATAATCAATACTTTTCTAAAGAAAAACAATCATACAAAAAAGAATATATATTTTAAATTTCATGTTGTTAACAAAAGATTATAATTTGTTGCTATTATTTATATTGTTATTATATTGTCTAAGCATAAGCATGTATCATATGTATATATTTTCATATACAAAAAACAAATATATATAAAAGTAATTGATATCATTATTAGATTTAAATATTAAATTTGTTTGCTAAATTATCATTATTTTTTAAATAATGATTTAAGACTAATGGTTAAGATTAATAGTTTAAGATTAATGATTAATGATTTATAATAAAACTTCAGTTTAATCTATACTTTAATAAGTAATATATAAATATATAAATAATAATATATAAATATAATATACAAATATATAAATATATAATATAAAAATATTTTTATAATTATATTACATGAAAAATTATTTTACAAAAAGACAGAAATAAATATTTTTAAAAATGAAATAATAAGATTTATAAAATATAAATAAAAAGTGCATTATATATGATTTAAATATTTTATTATTATATTTGATTTTTAATCAGCAATTAAAATTTTTATGAACATTGCATAATAACATTATAATGACAAACTTTATGAAGACATTAACAAATTAAGCAATAGAAATTATTTTAATATATAAAATTAAACAAATTAATGTGAATTTTTCCTTTCTTCTAAATTTTATATATATTCATTTAAAAAAAAATCATGTTTATAGAACATCATCTATATATTCATATATATAATATATGTATATATATAAAATTATTATTTATTTATAATTATATTATGTATTTTTTACACGTACATACACATAGCATGCATTACGCGTGTGAAAACACACACACACACGTACACACACAAAATGAATAAAGTATAAGGTAAACTAGTGAATCTCATACCTTTATCTTTGGAAGTTGATAGTTGTTTGTCATTTGTCACAGATTCCTGAGACATTGTGTTCTTCACTACGTTTATTCCTCGAATAAGGTAAATTCACAGCACACACTATACGGACTTTATTTTTTTTAGATCTTTTATGTGATCTATCTACGTCTCATACGCCATACACACGTACATCTAATTGAAGAGTTTATATTCTAGCTATATACCTTAGTACTGTTTAGTATCACAGACTGGTTTTCCTTTCTATATCTCAGTTTTATCTTTAAGCGAGGAAAAAATTGCGATCGGACAAAATGATAGTAATGTCGATTGCCAGTAACAGTTCCAATACGATGGCTTGGCCACTCTCACTCGTTGAAAAGAGAAATGAAGAAAAAGTGTTTACGTGCTACGAGCTACGGGTTTACGCACAGTTATATAGAAGATAAACGCAAAAAAAATTAATTGCGTGAAATTCGAAGCACGTGTTTCCGAATATCATTTCATTACATCGACACGTCCTCCGTCAATTATTAATAATCCATCGATTTATCACACAAAATGTACACACACAACATTAGTTCACTGCTATACAAAAATAGAAAATGGCGCACGATCCCCACTTCCGCCGTTGTTTCTCACTGCTTCCTTGATCCACAACGGAGAGCGTTCTAGCTTGTTACAATCTTATAGATAGTACTACGTCATCTTTACATGCGAACATTACTCGAGCGCCATCTTCTTAAGAATTTATCGCAAAGGAGCATTTACAAAATTTCTAGAAACAAAATTTAATATATTAATCATAAAATCCTAAATTGTTTTTATAAATAAAAGATACATTTTTTGTATTATTATTACTTTTTAATGTATAAAAATATTGAAAAATTATAAAAATAACTTGACAAAAATCATTAACTTTGGTATAAATATTATAGCAAAAAATTAATTTTATACGAAATTAATTATTTTTAAAATATCGAAATAAAAAAAAATGTATTTGTAACAAACTTATTAGTATTTTATATATATTATTAATAAATAATATATATGATTTTACTATAAAAATAAAATTGAAGTTTAAATTTTAGGCGCGAATATTGAAATAATTCCACGATTCAATTTTGTTTAATTCAATTTTTGTATATATAATAGAGAGAAGAATTTTTTATAATTCTTTATTCTTCGAAATGTATTATTACATATTTTTAAAAATTATTCTAAGTATTTATTTATCATAAGAAATACTATTAATAAAAATATATTTAATAGCCTGTATATACATATAATAATGTAAATATTTTAATATTTACATTAAACAAAATAAAAAAAAAATTTACAAATATTTTAATATTATTTAAATAAAATTATAGTATAATTGGGAAAAAGAAAGTATATATATATATTATTATTTAAAATATTATCATTAATATTAATATTATAGGTTACATTAATCTATGCAATTACAATTATAGTAGTTGCTTAAAAAATCCTAACTACTATGACATAAACTGATTTTAGTTCAATTAAAAAGGAAATAATAAATAAACAGTAAATTATTTTTTATTATAAAAACCTGAATGTTGAATTATTAAAATAAAAGCATGTCAAAGTACTTTTAATAATAGTTGTTTTAATTATTTCGTAAATATACTTACGAAATACATTTGTATCAATTTGTGGATTTATGTACGTATATATAAATATATTATATACATATTTAAGTATGCGAATTATATTATAATTCAAGATTTTATATTATTAAAAATACTACATATATTAAAATAATTATATCTGGGCAAAAAAAAATATTTTTAAATAAAAATATAGTTTATCCCAGAAATAATATATTTTTGTCAAATATTAAGAATAACTTTATTATAAAAAAAAAAAACACAAAAATGTAGAATGTAAATATTATCAACTATTAATCATAATCAAATTATTAATATGAATGTAAATATTTATTTAACTCAAAATAATTCAATATAAAAAGGTTACTTATATTTTTTGCTTCTTTTTCAATGTTTTTAGAATTTCATTTAAAAATACTTACTTAATAATTATAAAAATATAATAAAAAACAACTGTGGTTATTTATGATAATCTGTGTTTGATATGCTACAGAACATTATAAAATAGTTTTGATGGTATAATTTTATATATAAATCTTTTAATATTCTAACTTTTATCTTTAAATGAAATTAAAGATAATTAAAAAAATTGAAAAAAAATGTTTTTTAGAAATATACTATTGGCATTAGAAATATAAACACTGGCATTCTTGTGTTAGAAATGAATTTAATTATCAATGATTGTTGTTTTTAAAATTTAATAGGACTATTATAGAAATATACTAAGAAATATTTTTATGTATTATTAAAAATAATATTTTTTTGTCATTAAATCTCTTATATTAACAAGAGGATTTCAAAATTATATTATCAAAATACTTCAAAGAAAACACAAGAATAATCATGTTGCAAAATATTGTTTACATATTTAACCAAAATGTATTATTGAAGTTTTAAAACATATATTTTTTCAGTATTCCTAAACACAGAAATACTCATAGATATTTTTATCTTTATCAAATATATTAAAATATTAATGATATATTTTTTTCAAGAAACATGTCAAAAAAAAATAGAACATACAATATTAAATTTCTTCTTCATGTACCGATGTACTTATTATATTATTTTCATTTATTTGATTTTTAATCACAAGCGTTTCATCTGTCTTTTTAGGTGTTCCTGACATTTTAATATACATTTTGTTTGTTTCTTCTTTTTCTGAATCCTGCTTTTTATCAATATCTTCTTCTAATGATTTTTGCACATTGTTATTACTAGTTAATATTTCTGATGAATTATTTTCCGAGGTCTTTGCTCGTCCTCTTTTTGTAGTAGCTATTGAAGATATAAATTCTTTATTTGTTTTCTTTTGTATTTCTTTAATTGCTCTTGTTATATCAGTATCATTTTCATTAGACCCATCAGTATTACGATTAGCAGTTTTACCACGCATTTTAGTAACTTTCTTTGGTATTTCTTTTTTTTTTACATTTCTTCCCTTTTTAGTAGTTTGAATTGATTCTGTTTCTTCTGATTGATTATTTTGAATTTCTTGATTTTCATTATCACTAGTTTGCATTAATTCTGAAGGTGATTCTTCTATTACTTTTGATTCTCTATCATCTTTTGAGATATTTTCTGCATTAATTTCATTTTTACGGCCTCTTTTTTTTTTGCTACTGTTATTTTTGTGGATTTATCATCAACTGATTTTTTATTTGTCTTTGTAGATACTGTAGATATAGATTCTTCAGTTTTATTATTATTTTCAGTCTCATCATTAGTAGCTTTACTTTTATTAGTATTTTTATTGGCAGTTTTACCTTTTATTTCAGCATTTATATTAGTTTGTTTCTTTATTATTTTTGCTTTAGGATTACTATCCTTTGATACTATTTCAATATTTGCTGACTTTTTTTTAACAGTTGGTGCTTCTAAATTTTCAATATTCTCATTGACAGTTTCCTTTTTGGCCTTTCCCTTTGATCTTCCCCTAGCTAAAATAAAAATATAATTATTATATATATAAATAAATAAATATATATTATATATATATTAATTACATTATATTAATATATATTAATATATTATATTATAATTCCTCATATATATATATAGAAATCTTCACAAAAATTCTACCTATTATATATATCTTAAATAATTTGATATACTAAAATTTATATATTTTAAAATAAAAAATTTTTTTATATGATAGAACATATTTAAAGAACTTGTCCAAAATTTATTATTGTATAATCATCATGTTATATTAAAAATCAAACAAATAGTAAAATATTGATAAAAAAAGAGTTTATGTTTTCGTAAATTATTACTTGTTAAATACGAACAATAATACTAAAAGTCATAAAGAAATTTTAAATACGTACATTCTTCATCCATATCTATTCCCGCCTTTTTTATCGTAGTTTTAGTACGTGTCTTTTTCATTTCAGTTTCTTCACTATTTTTCGCAATATCTATATTCACAGAACTTGTATTAAGTTTTTCTTCCATTTCTTTACTCTTCTTTACCATAGACTTGACTTTAGAGTTGGTTTTTGCGGATGCCGAAGCATTTTTAGCAATCGATGATGTCTTAGTTTTTGTTTTTGTGTTTTTAGTTGTGGTTGAACTTGTATCTGTGGTTTCTATTTGCTCGATTTTCGTAGATTTCGCAGCTCTTGGCAGTCTAATTTGCTTCTCTTCATCGTTTTTATTCACACTTTTTGCAACGGCTTTTCTTCTTTTCGGAGGCGACACATCGCCGGCTTCCGCTGCTCTGTCTACAACCTCTGTATCTGAATGTTTTGCAGCTTTACGGGGTGCCATATCATTCCACGATTTCAAGAATTATCTAAAAACAAATTTTATACAGCTTTATTAGATTCTAAACATACAATGAGTTTCAAAGACGATTCATAAATGATTCAATACACCAACCGATTACTTACCGGTGTACAACGTGCATTAACGTGTCCGTTGCATTAACTGGTGTTCGCAAGTTACATGACTAACATAGTAGCAGATCGGCAGCTTCAAGTTTGGAATAGATTTGATAATCGACAATCGATTTTCGGATTGACAAATGGCGTCAGAATATCAACGGATTAAATTTTCAACAACTGAAATTTTTAAATATATACAATTATATCTTACAGATCTTTACAATTAATTAAACAAATCATTTTATAAAATTTTTTTATATCACTTAAGAATCGAGCCTAAGGACTTATAGTTTTACATCCTTTCAATTAATTCAAAATTTTAGTAATTATAGTGTAATATATTTTATTTTAATGTAAAATTAAATAATTTTAATTTTTTATCAATGTCTTTTGTATAATTAAATATTGTATAATTAAATATTTTGCAGGATATTTATATAATTAATTAATACTTCAAGTCAGAAACATTTGCTGTGTCACGAAAGGTATAGAACATTCATATTTTTTAATTTATTTTATTTAATTCTAAATAAGTTTTCTTTTAATATTTATATTGATAGTATTATAATTTAATATTGCAAATTAAAATTAAATACAAAAAATTAATTACAAATAAAAATTAAAAAATTATTTTAAAAAAATTTTCTATATATAATATTATATTATAATGTAATTTTAAATAATGTACAAAAGAATGAAATCTTATATATTGTTTTTAATTTTTATTTATTAATTATATTTTTATAGTTAATATATTAAATCATTATAAAAAAAATAATAAAAATTAATATAGAAATATATTAATATTAAAAAAATATTAAATAAATACTAATATACTATACGAATTAAATTTTTAAAATTATTATGTTACTAAAATTATATTTCTAATAGAAACTTAAATGAGTTAAATCATTAAAAAAGATGATTTTATTGTTATTATTATTTGCAATTTTTATCTAAATATTTGTAGAATATATTTTGATTTTTATTATCAAATAATAAAATAATAAAAAAAAAAGAAATTAAAAAGTACTAAAAAATTTAAAATTAAAAATATTAAAAAGCATGATAAAAAACAGAAATTATATTATAAATTATAATTGTAAAGTTACACGTAATAATATTCAAAATAATATTTTTAGAACATACGAAATTTAATGACAAAATTTTATATTTTGAATATATAAAATTTAAATTTATTTTTTATTTATATTTATAAGAAAAATATTAATATAAATATTGCATCTATCTAGTTTTTTCTTTTTTTATATAACAGAAGAATTATTTTTTTGTTTTTATTTTTTCAATTAAATTATTATTTATAATCATTTATAAAAATATTTATTTAAATAATGTAAATGATATTTATGTAACTTTAATTAATTATTATAATATAGTGCGAATTTTGATTTTCTTTTATTCAAAAAATAATGTGATTAAGATAAATTAACGATTTGATATATTGGTATTGAAATCTCGTTCATTGTTTTTCCTATAAATAAAATGTTATTTGAAATTATGATTTTTTAAAAATACATTATTATAAATATATATATATACGTATACATATAATATAATATAAATATACACACACACATATGTATTATAATTATATTATAATTTTGATATTAAAATTTATATCTCAAATACAGTAAATGTTAGTAATCTATTATAACCTATAATTTATATTTCACTCAATGTTATACTCAAATAAGAAATACAAATCATAAAAATTGTGAAATTATCGAGATTTTTTTAAATTATTTTGTATTATTTTCTAAGTGAAATTGAATTACATTAATAGATGATATTTTAACAGATTTATTCAATGATGAATAATACAAAAAAGATTAATGTAAATTTTTCATCTCTTGTGGGTTTAAAAGCAGAACTTTTAAAAAAACAACATGAAGTAAATGAAGCAAAATTGAAATCAGAAACAATTTACAATATTCCAAAATTACAGAAGAAAAAATCTTCAAAAATTGAATATAAAAATGAAAATTTGAAAAAATCAGAATATATTGAGGATATTGATACTCATAAAAAGTCAAAATTAATGTTAGCAGCAAAGGCAAGGTTGTATGACCAATTAAAAAAATCTAAAACTACCAATGAAAATTTTCTTGTTGATTTCACAAATAAATCAGATGAATCTGAAGAAGAATTATTACAAAAAGATGAAGAAAATGATGCAATATTAGAAAATGAAGATGACTGGGTAGAATATGAAGACTGTTTTGGTCGTACAAGAAAATGTTTACGTGAAGATTTGTGTTTAATGCAAGAAAAAGATCAATTAATAAAACAACAAATAATAAATAAAAAAGGAATTGATCCAAAAACAAATAATATTATCGAACAAAACTATGCTCAAGAAGAAAAAGAACCTGAAATAGAAATTATGAGAAGAAAATGGGAAGAACAAACAAAAAAACTAACTGACAAAGTAAATATACATTATCAAGATATTTTATTTGATGAAGCTAGAACTCATGGTGTTGGTTATTATGCATTTTCACAAGATGAAGAAGAGAGAATCAAGCAACAGGAGAATTTATTCAATTTAAGGAAGGAAACAGAAAGAAAACAAAAGGAAATAAAAGAATTAAAAGAATTGAAGGAAAAAATGGAATATAATAGATTAAAAGCAGCTAAAATTAGACAGCGTATTAGAGCAGGATTACCAATAGATGCAGTAGAAGAAGAATTCAGAAAAAAAAATAATGAATCTAATCAAAATACATCAGATAATATACATATTGCAGAAAAGAATTTGATTGAAGTCAAAGAAAAAGAAAGTAATGAAAATCAAAATATAGAAATAAATAAAGAATTAGAAAAAGAAAATAAAATAAAAGTTTTAGGAGAATTTCTAGGAAAAAGAACTCATTGGTATGAAATGTCTCAGGAAGAATGGATTCATAAATGTAGAAAAATTAGGGTTAATGAATTTGGACCAGTATATGAAAATTTCAAAAGTGCTGGTTATTTAAATTCTGAAAATATTAATGTAGCATTAAGAATTCATAATGATGAGGAATTTCATCCATGTGAAATGAATATTCAGAACAATACAAAAATTAATAATAAAGTAAATATAGATACTTATAATATACCACTTCCTCCTAATTTAATTATAAATGATCCTAATATTGAGCATAATAATTTAACTAAAACAGCAAATCAAAATAGTTTTACTCAACAAGTTCATCTTAAACAACAAGAATCCAATAATATATTACAGAATCAGATGATACCAAATAGAAATATAGACGAAGCAAGTATAGCAGCTGGTCTTAAATATTTGAGAGAAAAATTTGAAAAAAGTCAAAACACTTGAGATATTTATAAAATATACTTATAATATGTTTAAATATATATGATTGTAATAATGTATATGTAGACATTATCATATATCACTCTTTTTATGCTAAAAAATATGCAATTTGACTTATAAAAGATCATATTTTAAATGTAAAATATGGAAAACAATTATTAAGAGTAACATTTTTAACATGTCAGTATTTATTTCAAAATGCAATTTTGTAAGCGATTTTATTATTATAAATTGAAATTAAATATAAAAAAACAATGTTCAATATCCTTATTCAAATAGGAAATTTATATTTGTGTTTCTTCATAAAAAAGATGATACATGATTAAAACATTATAATAGAATTATTTATGATAATAAAATTTATTTATAAAAAATGTTTTACAGTTTAATTATACTCAATTTTTTCTTAAGAATTTTTTATTAGATAATTTTATTTTATCCATACTTTCTTCTACTAGATCACAGTCATCTGATACACCTATAAATAAATGTATAAATAAATATAAATATTAATTTTATTTATAAAAAGTATATAAGAATTCATTAATTTCATTCATAAAAAAATAATATTACCAGATAAATCAATATCTGAAATCACTGTATTGCAATTAGAACACTTTATGGAATTATAAATCATAATAAATTTCTTTAAACAATATAAATGAAAAGAAGTTTCACAATTATTACATTTTTTACCCTAATTAATAAAAATAAATATTAGTAAGAAATCTTATATAATTACATATTTAATAATTAATAATAATTAATAACATACATGAAAAATTATTTGTTTGCAAAGATTACAAATATTTAAATTATTTTCATAAGTAGCTTTAAAGTATGGCATTAATTCTGTTATACTTCTTACACCCATATAATAATAACCATCCTATAAATATCAAAATCATAATATCAATAAAACAATACTAATTAATTAAAGAATAATATATTAATGTTTTATTTGTACCTTATAAGCCAACCATTTTTTATTAACTACATCATTAAGAAATTCTTCAGCTTTTGCTTTTGATATTTTTATATCTGGCAAAGAACATAAATTTAAACATATTGTACTTTGTATACATCCATTATTTGATGTTATAATTTCAGAAAATATAGTTCTTAATAAAGTTAGTTGATCTTTTGAAAATTCAGATTGAAATCTAAAAAAAATTTAGTAATTAAATATAAATATTTTTATAGACACTATTACTATTACTATAAGTAAAAAAGTAAAATAAAAATATCAATTTATTTATTTATAAATTCTATATCTAAATATCTATTCATTATAAATTCTAGATAAATTAAAAAAAAATGTTTTTAACAAATTAAATAATTATAATTTTTTATAAAAATTTATAAAATATGTAAAAATAAATATAATATTAATGTTATTTTAACATCAAATACCTGGTTATTTCATCAAATATAGTGCTTATTAAAATCCAATATATTTGGCCTGTAATTTCACACCATGCTTTTTTAATTAACATATTTAAAGGTTGTAATTGCTCATTTATTTGATTTATTATTATTGATACTTTATCATCATCTGAAATATACAATTTCATTTATAATATATATGAAAGGTATTTTAAATAAATATAAAAATATATATACGAAATTATTTAAAATTAAATAAGAATTTACTTACTAAATAATTTGATAACGAATTCTTTTGCTTTATTTTCATTTAAAAAACCTTCATTCATAAGTATTTGTAAAATTATTTTGTGGTTATTGCTATAAACCATGTTTTATTTTTCTGATAAATATATGTAAATAAAATTATCAAAATATGTTATTTTATTTTTTAAATTATTAATTGCTTATTATTGTTAAAATAACAATATTTTTTAAGTAAATCACTATAAAATTTTAATAAATATTTTCATTAATTTAATATATTATTATTATTATTATTATTATTACTAATATTATTATTATTATAATATTAACATTATCATCTTCGATCATTTACCAGAATTTAATATATATATTTAAAAAATTACCATATGTAAGTATATATATATGCTAGGAACAAAAAATTTTGCATGTACTTATGATGGTACTATTAAAAGATACTTTTTATTTTTGCGATTTCATAGTATTCTTTTTTAATTCACAAAAAAGCATATCTTTATTATTTTTTATGAATACAAAATATAAAATAATATAATAAAATAATATAAATATAATGAATAAAATGAAAAAATAATTTTGAAACATATTTCTCAATGTTTCTCAAATTATATCAAAAGAAAATAATTTCTTTCAGAAAAAAACATAATTATAAAATAAGAAGAACAAGTAAATAATTTTCATAAAATTAACAATTGTTATATAAAATTTTTATTTATTATTTAATTTTATATTTATTATTTATTTATTAAAAATTATTTATTTAAACTGAGAATTATTGTTGCATTATACTGCATTTTATTGTATTATCTTCGATGAATGAAATAAATATAGGACTATGATCAGTTAAAACATGAAAATATTAGAGAATATTATAAGAATATTATGAGAAAAACAATGAATGAAAGATGTGGAGTTAAGGGTTGAACATGATTTATTCCAATATTAACATCTATTTATTAAAAACGACAAAGGAAATATCATCATATGATAAATGGATTAAAAATGAAAGAATATAGAATTAGTATGTACACATCAGAACTATCTGCTGCATAGTACAAGTTGTATCGCGAGGGCGCGAGGCCGCGACCCTGAGCCTGATACGCGGAATAGAACGTTTCAGTAGCAGAATAGTGCGCGAATACGTGTCAAACTCGGTCCACGGATAAGCGTAGAGTGGAACATCGTAGTGTAGGGCTATCTGCTATCGTTTCGTACAAAAAGGTCGAGAGTTCATGATCATACACTGCTTTAAAACGATGATTTTACGAAGTGTTTGACGACGATTTCTTTTTCTTTATTATCACTGCCGACTGATCAGAAACTATAGACGTTGAAGTTTTTCTTTATATCTTTTTGTGTGAATATTTGATTAACAAGCGCATAACCTGTTAAAATTATTATAGAAGATTTAGGAATTTGAAATTAAGTGTGTGGAAATTATTATAATAATATAATCCGAAGATGCCACTCTTCGGTAAAAAAGATTCAAACAAGAAGATTAAAAAAGATGGAAAAGATGATAAATCGCCGTCTGTTGAGGACAAATACATCCTAAAGGAATTACTTGGAACGTATGTATATTATATATGTATATCGATACAAATTACATATAAAAAAATAATAGAATCATTTGCATGAGATTTTTATATTTTTATATTTATTCTTTATATTTAAATTAAATTTTAAGTAATCTTTTGATTAATAACATGATTAATTATAAATTTTATGTTAAACATTATGTATTTATATAATTTATTAAAATTTATATAAAAAATTAATAGAACTAATTTTTTTAATATTATCAAGATATTTATATACAAATTTTTGAGCAGCTTATTTTTAATACTTTTTTTTTCATAAAAAATAGATTCATTTTGTGATATTTAATAATTACTAATATTTTTATATTAGTAACACAATTTATCTATTATCACAATTTAACTATTCTCATATGCATGTATATTTCTCATATATGTAATTTTAAATTTTGTATACTTTTATTTTGTTTAAATTAGAATTTAAATTATAAATATACAATAAAATAAGCACGACAATATAATTTATATTTGTTCTATTTATAAAGAAAATTTAATTTTTAATTAACTTAATAATTTTTTTAATAATTTTTAATTAACTTAATTTGTGTTATTATATATTTTTAATATTTAGAAAAAAAAGTACTTCTAATTAGAAACAAATATTGTAACTATTAATTTTTAAATACTCTTATTTAAATTATATAAACTTCATTTTTATTTGTTTATAAATAATCTTTATAAATTTACATTCATAGACTTAATAATAATATTACAAATTCAAAGTATTTAACTGATATTATGATATATTCATTAAAAATCTATTAGAATTCTTATTTTAATATGATTCAAGTAATATGAGCAAAGTTAATTATAATTAATTATAACTGGATAATAAATGTATATATTATATAATGCAACAATAAATAAAAATATAAATACCTGCATAAGTCTTATTGCATTATTAGTTGATATTTGATGACATGATATTTTAATTTATTTGTTCATATTTGTTTGTATAGAGGTGCTTTTTCTGAAGTACGTTTGGCAGAAAGTAAAGAAAAACCTGGACAAATGTTTGCTGTGAAAATTATTGATAAAAAAGCATTAAAAGGAAAAGAAGATTCTTTAGAAAATGAAATTAGAGTTTTACGAAGGTATATTTTTAATTTTCTTGAATAAATTTATTTAGTTTTTTTTCAATATTAATAATTTTATATTTATTTTATTTATAATTATATTTTTCTAGGTTAACACATCCTAATATTGTTCAGTTATTGGAAACATTTGAAGATAAACATAAAGTTTATTTAGTTATGGAATTGTAAGTAGTTAAATTAAATATATTTTATTAAATATATTAAATATATTAAATATAAATATTTATGAAATATTATTTTTTTAAATATTTATAAGTTATTATTTATATATTATATATAATGTATATCTAATATATATCTAAATATATATATCTAATATTTTTTCTCTTATATTAGAGTGACCGGTGGAGAATTGTTTGATAGAATTGTTGAAAAAGGTTCCTATACAGAGAAAGATGCCTCAGGTTTAATAAGACAAGTTTTAGAAGCTGTGGATTATATGCATGACCAAGGTGTAGTACATAGGGATCTTAAACCCGAAAATCTTTTATATTATAATCCAGATGAAGATAGTAAGATCATGATTAGTGATTTTGGCCTATCAAAAATGGAAGATTCTGGTATTATGGCAACTGCTTGTGGTACACCAGGATATGTTGGTATGATTTAATTTTATTAATCTACATATATAGAATAATATATAGTACATCTAGGACATTTTGGAGAGTCAATTTTATAACAAATACAATAGTATACAAAAATATTGATTGAACTTATTAAGTTATTAACAATTTAACTATTTTACTTTATTTAATGTAAATTTAAATTATTTATAATTTAATAAATAAGTATATTGATAAATAAATTGTTTAACTGATATTTTTTGTATGTTTGTGTTTATTTTAGTTTCTAAATTGATTTTGAAAATATCTAATAAATAAAATATCTAAATATATTAATACTCTATATAGATTTATTTATTATAGCATATTTGCGATATATTGAATCAATCATTTTTCTTAAAAAATTTTTGACAGAAAAAAATTTTATTGCTTCTTATAATGAATATGATAATATATACAACTTTTTTATATTTTTTAAATGTTATTCAAGAAAGAAAAGTAAGTTTTTTAAATGAAATATATAAAATTTCATATTAAGACAAATTCAAACATGTAATATATATATTATGACCTTCAAAATCAAACAAGGTCAGAATGAATAAAAAAAAATTCGAATTATATTTACTAATATATTGTATTGATAAGGTACATACATATGTCACTTCCATTGTCACTTATAAATGATATCTATTTTTAACAAGATAAAAATTTTTCTTATAATTGTAGATCTGTAAAAAATGTTTTGGATGAAATGTTCAATATGTTTGGAATCTTTGGATGTATAAAATGATTTCCATGTTTTTCAGATTTATTATTATTGGATTTTTTTTAGTATAATACATCTTTAAAGGATTTGTGTTAAGTGATTACAATTCAAAAAAAGTATATTAATTCATAACTAGAATAATATTAGTAAAGAATATTGAGAATAATTTATGAAGAACACAATTATTAAGAACACAAAAATGTATTCTTGTTAATAATTTCAAATATAATCATTATTAATATATTAGTAAATATAATATTAAGAAACATTCATTTATTTTATTTATCTTTTTTAATCTTTTGAGCCTAATATGGAATATATTTGAAATCATCTTGCATAATTTTATGTAATATAAATAAATTTATATCATTTCATTTAAAAAAATTGAAGTTTTTCACTTTTATCTTTTGAATAATATTACAAATATGTAAAATTTATTACACATTATTACGTTCACCATAAAAAATATTAAAATTTTTCTCTTTATTATTTTTTTTAAACTTATTATTTTCAAGAAAAATTACTTTAACTAAAAAACTAATTTAATATATTACAGTATTTTATATATGATTTAATTTTTTTTATAAAATTTAAATATATATTTTTTTTATTTATAGCTCCAGAAGTCTTAGCACAAAAACCCTATGGAAAAGCTGTGGATGTATGGAGTATAGGAGTCATTTCTTATATTTTATTATGTGGCTATCCCCCATTTTATGATGAAAACGATGCGAATCTGTTTGCACAAATTTTAAAAGGTAACAAAACTATTTTAAGGTCAAATTTTTTTAGAATTTGAGAGGATTGTCCTATGATTGCACTAGTACTATTTTTAAGCTTGACAAACACATGCAGCTGTCCATTAACTTAAAATTTTCATTTTTAAGGTACTATTCTAGTTTTAGTATGCTGTTATATACATGCTAGTGTAGTAAGTAAATAATCTTTTGTGTGTGTCCACACTTGGAAGTCATTAATTGTTTAATTTTCAAAAATTAAGATTAAAAGTTTAATTCATCATATAATAACATCAGTATAATATCTAATAATAATATTTCTAAATAAAAAAATGATAATGTGTGATAATGATAAAAATGAAATGTCATTTTAGTCAATTATAATGTGAATCTAATAATATTTTTTCCAAATAAAATAATTTATACAAAAAGCAAGTAAATCATAATAAAATCATTTGTTCTATACCAAGAAGCTAACCAGACTGTTATAGGTGAATTTGAATTTGATTCACCGTACTGGGACGATATCAGTGACTCTGCAAAGGATTTTATTCACAAATTGATGTGCGTCAATGTCGAAGAGCGTTATACTTGCAAACAAGCCCTTGCACATCCTTGGTAAGATCATTATTGCATTCAGATATCGTATATAACTTTTTTTATCATTTAAAATTATTGTATCTTCCCCATTAAAGTATTTGTAATATTTTAAATATGTTTTAAATATATTTTTAAATTTCAAATAGTTACATTTTTAAATTTAAGTAATGAAAATATTACAGGAAATAATTTATATTATTAATAATAAAATAGGTATTAATTAAGTAAGTAAAAAAATTATATTAATGTCATTATGTATTAATATGAATTTATTCTTTTACAAAATTAATTATTAAATTATATATGGATTGAATGTATATAATAATAAAGTTCATTTTAAATTAAAAATAAAATTTTTATAACTCTCATTAAAATCTTTAATAATTTTTACATATAAATAAATATTTTAACATTATAAAAATAAATACAATATAAATAATTAATAAATGTAGCTAATAAAAAATATAAAAAGGAATAAATTGTATTTAATCATTTTTCATATCTAATATAGTATCGTGAAATTGATATTTTTCAGGATATCCGGCAATGCAGCTAGCAATAAAAATATCCATGGTACTGTATCGGAACAACTTAAAAAAAATTTCGCCAAATCAAGGTGGAAGGTTAGTATGATTATATGATTATCAAACTGCTGATTGTATGTGTTTGCTCGCCAGGCTCCGTAGGAAAGTCTTCCTCTTCTCTCATGGTTGCAGCAAGCCTATCACGCAGCCACGGTTATACGTCAAATGCAACGGTTGGCGCTCAACAGCGGCCAACAGCAACAGGGCCCAGGATCAACAGGCCCCTCCAGCGGCAATCTCATGCCATACCCCGATCAATCGCAATCCAACCCCAGTCATCAATCCAGATCAATGGACTCTCCAACCAATCACAATTGAAGGAAATACGCGAGTCACCATTGTCAATGTCAAGCTTGGTGGCCTCGAATCCTATTCCCATTCCAATCACTCCAAGTTCACCATTATACTTACGCAACAAACGCTTCAAGCTGTGGGGTAGCACACGCACTGCTCTGTCTACTCTATTTCAAACGAATATATCGTATCTTAGAAAGCAAAGAAAGTATAAGAAAAGTTGAGTCATACTAAGTTTCTTCTAATGAGAAACTGTCGGATTGGTTATTTTCTTGCCGAATATTATTCTAATTCTGGTAAGAACTTGTATAGATTCCAGCTAACTTGCTTCATTGTGGTCTCCTATGATATGGTGCCACCGATTGTATGTATATTACAAAAGTACACACGAATGCTCATATATATAATTCCTCTCTCTCTCTCTCTCTC